CCGGTCACCTTGACGGAGTCGGAACTGGAACCCTCGTCGACATGATGAGTATAGTCGTTGATTTGTTAACCGAGGGAGCCAGAGAGAGGAGACGAGTCGGAAGCTAAGGAAAGAAAAAGAGGTAGGAGGTTGAAGTTAGTAAGAATTATGAGTTAGAGCTTGTCGAAACAAGCAAAGTCGACTCATGGAGGTCGACAGAAGATAGAAGGGCATCAATCGACATTAAGAAAAGAACAAGGGAGAAAGGATCACTAAGTCAAGGAAAATCGACTCAACAACAGGCGAAAAGTCGACCACATGCCAGAAGACGACGGCTAAAAGAGTAAAAACATCATATCCGAGAAAAGCGTACGCGTATAAAGAGCTAACACAAAACCCATAGAAAACCTTCGAAAAATATGAAGAACACATATGAACTTCGAAAGTTCTGAGAACCCAAAAAAAATCAAAGAAAGGAAAAACCGACAGAAGATAGAGAGATAAGAGAATAGCGAACTTACACATGGTGGTTTAGTAGATTGGAACCTTGAATGAACTTGAAGTTGCTGGAAGTGAAGAACGCCGGAGAAGCCGAAGTGCGAAAAGTTGTCGGAGATGCTGGAAGAAGTTTCAGAGAGCAAGAAACTCGAGAATGCGAAAAGTAACCTCTTGAGAAGAGGAGACGTATTTATAGGCGGAGAGAAATAATGTTGATCGTTGAATCAAAGAGGGAACCGACGATCCTGATGGAGCACGGAATTCGAAGGGCCGGCGATTGAGGTGACGCGCGTCGCTTCAACATTATTGAGATTCAAAATTTGAAATGGGTCTGTCAGAGTGTCAGACTTATCCGAAAAAAGCAATCATGAGATTGAAGTGCGCCCTAATCGATTGACGAGACGAGTCATCGAAGAAGGCAAAGACGAGCGAGCATCGCAGGAAGACAACACAACCACACATCACCAAAATTTACTCTTAAGCAGTCGACGACTTAGAGTAATTTTTTTGGGGGGGGACTAGATGATATAGCCACATAAGGATAACCCGGTCCAGAAGCTCCCTACTCGACCGGTAAGCCACTCGAATAACCAGAATGTCGACATGGCTCTGTCGACACACTCAAATCGACTCCCTAAAGTCGATCTTACTAAGAGTAACCAAGAAGAGGCAGAAATTGGTCTAGTCGACTCTTGCAAGTCGACTTTAGCCCATCGACTTTCACTAGTCGATATCATTGGAAGAAGAATAAAAGAGCATGCACCCGAGCATCCCGATATCCTAAGTCGACTTCCAGTAGTCAACTTAACTAAGACGACCCTCTGAAGACGACTTCACCTCAGAGTTATCCAAGTGTAGCCTCTGAATCCACATATCCATAAGTCGACCTGCTGGCTCTGGAAGTCGACTTCGTACACCTCGAATAACAAAGATGTGATGACGACTCATCACACTTGCAGCGTACCTGAAGTTCCACATATTGTAAAAGATAAGAAGGAATCTCGTGATGACTCAGCATCAGGGGGAGACGAATCGACCAGGGCATTTTGGACCTTCTAGGTTCACCGACTGGGGCATTTTGGGTACTTCAAGTAAGTATTTATTCCTATATAAAGGATGTGAGGTAACCCCAAACCCTAACTCTCATTCATTCCTACTCTCCCCTATAGCTGCTGCGCAGCCTCTCTTCATCACTCTCATACTGACTTGAGCGTCGGAGGCTCTACGCCGGAAACACCTCCGGCGTTGAGTTTTTGCAGGTATCTCGCAATCTGGCAGCGATTTGAAGGCGATTCAAGCAGATCTGAGCTCATTTCCACCGGTTTACTCCAGATCTGGAAGTAGACTCATCAAATACTATGATATAGTTATGACCACTCGCTTCCGTCGTGTTGTGCCAGCTCAGGTATGAGTACCTGAATGATTTAAGATTATTGTGCATTGATTGGTTATTGATTTCTGAAATGAAACCGGAGCTTAGGAATTTATCCTCCTACTTTTAAACATTCTGGAACTCTAGATGAGTGGCGAACCTTAGTTACATGATCTTGAACTCTAGCGAAACAGAGTTAAATTCTAACTTGAGGTTTTGTTTGTTTTGAAATTTGATATGGTGTAGCTGAGTTCTGTGTATAACAGTCCTCTCAATGTATTTTGGTGTCTTCAGAAAAGGACCATTCGCGAGCCATCTCGAAAGGAGAAGGTTTAAACAAAGGGAGCAGACAACCGAAGAAGTCTCAAGTGTGGGATATTCTGAGGTCTGTAAACATGGTTATTAAGACCATCAGATGTTAATATGTCTATGTTAATTTTGTGTTCATGAGTTTGAAATTGGTTTAAACATATGTTGAATATATGTAGACGATCTCTTCGATTTTGAGAAATCGAACGAGACCTCGTCGATTCGTGATATAGTCATTGTGGATTGGAACGATGTATCGTCCTTAGTCTTATGGCGAAGACTTCGGACGAATTCGTCGTAAAACGAGTCGTAGATAAATTGTCGGACTTTAATAACCGCTATTTTATTGTTGGAATTATTGAAAATTATGTGCTGCTCCGTTTACCTTGAAATTTTGAGTGTCTTTTCTTCTATTGAACATATGACTTGTCTTAAAATTTAGTAATTTTCCAAGGCCTGTAGCTATTTTAAATAATTAAAATTACTTCTGGTCAGTTTCATGTTAATTGAATAAAAAATTATGTAGAGATTGAAATTAGCTGAAAATTTAATATATCATGCCCCTGTTATGATTGTATTCTGTGTAAAATGTTTAGAATTTTTGGACTAAGTTTGATAGGGTAAATAATTTATTTCTTGATTCTGCAGAAAATTATTTTATTTATCATAAATCAGTTAGATGTTAAAAAAATCTGAAACTTGGCTGGAGTACTTGTTTTATGTGTGTTTTCATGCTGTTAAAAGATGAGAATTGTTGGAGTCCAATTTGGTTTAGTTTTAACTGAATTTTGATAAACTTCTGAAACTTGTAGGAATTTTTTAAATTAGTACAGTTCATGTCCAACACTGAAATTTTGACATGTTGCCACTCTCATGCTGTAGTCTGTGGTATAAAAATTTCATAGGTTAGTTCATTCATTTAATCTGCTTGCTAATTTATGCTCGTTTTTTCCATAATCTTGCTCGAATTTTATAAAATAGCACAGTTTGAGTTTGGGGCTGAAAATTTGTGATATTTCTTAGTTCTGGGAGGTGGAATTTTGGTGAAAAATTCAGATTTAAGTTCGTATGATAACCTGACCAACCTAATTTTGTGATTAAAATCTAGTATTTTTAAATATATGGCTTTTGCAATAAAAACTGTGAATCGACTCGTTTTCCGGTTCTTTAAGTGTTTGACTTGGTCAATGTTTGTTTTAGACTATGTGAACCCCCATGTGTATTTGGTTGAGTCTTAGTGTCGAGTCTAAGTGTTCCAACGTCCACAGGACTTCACAAACAACTTAGTCGAATTAAGTTCGGCTGAGTATAATTGTGAATTCCGTTTAAGTCAGAATAGATGTTGATTATAGCATCTGAACTTAATGTAAATTCTTGACGAGTCGAGCTCGCCGCCTATGAGTGCTTCTGTGTTATCTCCTGCTGTTATCGAGATGGAGTGTTTTTCTACCTTTAAGGATTATGCAGAAGCATTTTAAGGAGGATAGACGAGCCAGAAACAAGTACATCGCGTAGTTCAGACCCGTCCTTATTCTAAATCTTGTTCATCGTAAAAATTTTGTTCTTCTACTCCTTTCGGAATCCCGGGAAGAACTTCGCGTTCAAATTCCAAAGTGTGAAGATTGGGAAGTGAGTTGCGCTCGTTTAGGACTGCTGACACGATTAGCTACCTGAGGAAGAGCTGACGTCTCGGCCGACGCTGTTAGTCGGAAGAGCAGAGGCGAGCTATCTATTTAAGGGCTCGGCAGAAGCCACCGATTTAGAGAGAATCGCCATGAAAGTTCTGTTCGAATTTTGCATATCGTTAGATCTGTGGCATATTGCGTTTTGTTGTTTTAGAAAGTTGGTGGACTTGGAACTCGAACTTGCACCTTGCTATTTTTGAGACTGTTTGAAACTTTTGAAATTGAAAAACACCTGAAATGTATATTGTTTTGTTAATCCCAAAATTTTTAAAATTTGGTAAGACTATTCCTTTTTGGTAGCCTTGAATTGTAATTTCTTGTGGAAACCTTGACCAAACGCTGACGCTGATGGGTGTAGCCACGCGAAGTGGTGGTCGAGCACGCACGACCGTGCTAAGAGATAGGAGGCTTGTGCGCGGCCGACCGTTGACTCGCATGTGAAGTGCAGCCGCCATCACCGTACGCACGAACTCCCTAGGCCAGCGTATACGGCCAACCATCGATGATTTTACTGAACTGTTGAAACCGTTTCATGCTGGAATACTTGATTATCCTTATTGAAACCCTTTCATTTGAACCTTAAACAGAGAGCTCCAAGTTCCACTAAAATGTGTATATATCCTTAATCGATGATTTTTGATTAAGGAGTGTAGTCGATGAGTCCCTATGCTTTACTTGAGAGTTTCTCGAGTCGGCAAATCGGGAATGTCATGTTGCTTTGGGTCAAGCCTTATGTTTGTGCATAAGGGTTGCGTTCGGCTCGTGGAGTCCTAGAGTGTGAGCTTAATGGTGTCGTGCTTTATGTATGTGGTACCGTGTCATTGTCTTTGATAGAGACACACGGCCGTGATGAAATCGTGAGCAAGTTGTCAGTGTGACTCGGATGCGCGACTGAAACTTGGCGTCACGTGTCCACCTTGATGATGAGGTAGTCGGAGTACGCTGACAATACACCGAACGACCTGTTAAGGTCTTGTGTGTTGTTGCAAGTCGTTGATACTCATTAGTATAGGCTAAACCGAACTGGGTCCCTTGCAAGAGGATGTACGCCTGAGCTCGGGCAGGACTGATCACCCTCCCAAGCAAGAAGGTAAACATATTATCCAAGCAATTTTTACATTAACTATACGTGTATTGGCATAATATTTTATAGGTACTAACGGATTTTAGAGAAGCCTTTGCTGCTTGGACAGTAGTAATAGCAGTAACTGATGGTGGGGGCAAGAGAATATTACCATCTTTGCATGAACCTTTGTTAAAAAATGTGGCAACTTCTGTTTTGTGGTTCATATACCTACAATTTGAAAATTATTTTATGTCATGTTACTACAAAAAAAATAAAAATAAAAATAAAAAAAAAAATTGATACCATGGTTTATGTTTACCATTCCTTTAAATCAGATGCAACTTTCATTGGAGGGTTGATAAAAATGTGACAAACGGGGGTTGACGGGTGCGGTCCTACGGACGAAGCGCACCAAAGCAGGGAAGCCCAAATGAAGCCCAAGTGAGGTTCCATCCCAAAACCAATTGGTGGTAGGAGGAGTAGCCCACAAGGCTTATAAGTTAGGCTAATTTTCCCTGTGTAGACGATGTGGGACAACTCACAAATGTATATTCTAACATCCCCTCACTTGTGAGTCCTTCGAAAGCCTAAACCCAACTAGGGTGGGTGACGGGTACGTCATTGCACGGTTTCACGTAGGCCCAAGCCCAACTAGGATGGGTGAACCGGCTCTGATACCATGACAAACGGGGGTTGACGGGTGCGGTCCCACGGACGAAGCGCACCAAAGCAGGGAAGCCCAAATGAAGCCCAAGTGAGGTTCTATCTCAAAACCAATTGGTGGTAGGAGGAGTAGCCCACTAGGCTTATAAGTTAGGCTAATTTTCCCTGTATAGACGATGTGGGACAACTCACAAGTGTATATTCTAACATCCCCTCACTTGTGAGTCCTTCAAAAGCCTAAACCCAACTAGGCTGGGTGACGGGTACGTCATTGCACGGTCTCACGTAGGCCCATGCCCAACTGGGCTGGGTGAACCGGCTCTGATACCATGACAAACGGGGGTTGACGGGTGCGGTCCCACGGACGAAGCGCACCAAAGCAGGGAAGCCCAAATGAAGCCCAAGTGAGTTTCCATCTCAAAACCAATTGATGGTAGGAGGAGTAGCCCACTAGGCTTATAAGTTAGGCTAATTTTCCCTGTATAGACGATGTGGGACAACTCACAACAAAATGCAACTCGACAACTTTGTTGACAGTGACAAATTTGTACATTAAATAATATTATAATTTAAATATGTTAAATATAATAAAAATTTTCAAAATGGAAAATTAGAGTATAAAAGCATAAAGTTGAAAGTTAGTGACTTTAACTCTAAGAGCCAACACTATGTTTCCTGTTGAGATAGTGGCTACCAGCTGTGCACCTTCATTGGCTTGAAAATCGTTCCAAAGTGAGCATAGGTTTTTTCCTACAAAACAAAGAAGTTAATATATTTTGATTGTTTATAATACACATAAAAAGATATATTTATATAATTATACACTAACTCTTCATTAACGATCACAATGTCCCTATTTTTTGAGTCCTCGGTTCCTTTGGTTTGAATAACATGGATAACAACACCCATAACATCTGTAACACGAACGTAAAATAGTTTATGTCATTACTAGTTTTAGTTTTGTACTAAAAGATGTACTATTAATATTTTGTTTAAGATTTATTGGATAACTTACTATGAGGTGACTCTGTATCAGCATACTGAAATAGTTCAGTAAACTTCTCAATAGAAATCTGCCAAGGCAGTTGTGGAGCAGTAGCACTACCGTGTGCCCTGACACACCTAGCTAGGTGTGCCAGGGCATATTTGCACGCGCCCCCTCACCCCACAAAAATAGAAAATTTGGAGAGTGTAGTGCACATTCCCATTTTTCCTTTTTTAATTCAAAAATGAGACATATTACATAAGTTAAAATATCATTAATTATTTATATTTAAAAAAAAATAAAAATACCAAAATTCATAATTTTTCATTATCTATAAATAGAGACCACATTTGATAGGTTTTTGAACACAACTAATTTTTTGTTTTTTCGTAATTATTTTATTATACTGACATATAATGAACATGTTACATAACAAGATGAATATGTTTTCAAATAAGATGAACATGTTACAGATTGCAGATTGAAATAATACATATTCATCTTATTTTATAACATGTTCATCTCATTTTGGTAATATATTCATCTTATTTTATAACATGTTCGCCTTATTGTGTATGTAACATGTTCATCTTATTCTATAACATGTTCATTTTATTATGTAACATGTTCACCTTATTGTGTATGTAACATCTTCATCTTATTCTATAACATGTTCATTTTGTTATGTAACATGTTCATCTTATTCTATAACATGTTCATTTTATTATGTAACATGTTCATCTTATTCTATAACATGTTCATTTTATTATGTAACATGTTCATCTTATTTTAGAACATGTTCATCTAAATTTCATCAGTGAAAAAATGTAACATTTTCATCTTATTCTATGACATGTTCATCTTACTTTATAAAATGTTCATCTTAGTATGTGACATATTCATCTAATTATAGATTTGCATCATAATCTTCCAATAAGATAAATTAATTGTAAGAAATGATAAATTAATGTTCCAAAAAATATCAAATGTTGTCTCTATTTGTAGAGAATGAAAAATTATGAATTTTGGTATGTTTATTTTTATTTTTTGATACAAAATATGAATGATAATTTAATTTATATAATATGATATATGAAATTTATTACCCAATAGAAATGGGACACATGTCCCATTTAAAAAAAACATACTCTGCCTCATTACCTCACGCACTTTGGAAGGAGCTGTATTTCAAAAAAGGCCCTGGCACACCTACCAAGGTGTGCCAGGGCACAACTAAGTATTTGCCGTTGTGGAGGCACTGATTCTTCATAGTCCTCAATTAATGTACTTCTTCTCAGTGTCCGGTTATATGGATAATTGTTATTAAATATTTGAGTGTAATAGTTGTTTTAATTATTGAATGTAGTCAACCTGACAAATTGTTGGTACAATTATGGCCAACTTGCTAAATTGTTTGTACAATTATTCTTGCATATCATTGTCGTACAGCTAATCAACCACTAACCTAATTTGCAGCTTATTTGTATGGTTAGGATTTATCTGCTCTCTCAAGCCTTTATCTGTTCTCTCTCTTCTAGAAATAGGGATACTCGGTAGAGAAGAAAGACCACGGAAGAAAAAGAATATAGAGAAAGAAAGGGAGAAATAAAAGAAAGAGGGATAGAAAAATATTCAGTCCCAAAAGAATATTTGAGGGATAAAAATATTAGTGATTAAAATAGAGAAAAATTATCAGAGAGATATTTTTATTTCTATTTTTAAGTGCTCAATTCTCGACTCCGCTCCAGTTCGTCGGAACTCGTAAATCTGGTGTGCTACATATTTAGAGACGTTTGCCGTTGTATCTTTGAGGAAGTTACGCCTGAACCATTAGAAACACACGGGGCGTATTCTTCTTACGGAAAGAGTTTTACTTGCCTCGGCTAAAATCTTTCTGTTTTTATTTTTCAATTGTAATTTATTTTTCAGTTCAATTGTTATTTTCTATTTTAGATTATTTGTAAGAACTGAAAATACATATCAGTTCGTAGGAATCCCATGTAATTTTACACCCAGTTCATAACAATCGCAAGAAGAATATCTCAACCTACTGGACTGATGGCTTCCACCGAAAATGGTTCCAACACTCAGCATCCAATCAATCATGTACCTGCTATCCATGTCCCTACTGCTGAGGAGCCAGAAAAATTCAATGGGATTGATTTTAAAAGGTGGCAACAAAAGATGCATTTTTACCAGACCACTTTGGGTTTGGTGAAATACCTGAAGGACGACCCCTCGGTTATTGCTGAAAATGAGACCAATGTTGAACTACGCACTGCGTACGAAGCTTGGGGGCAAGGTGATTACCTTTTCCATAACTATGTCCTGAACGGACTTAGTAATAAGTTGTACAATGTGTACAACTCGGTTGGTTCTGCCAAAGAGCTTTGGGCTGCTTTGGAGAAGAAGTACAAGACTGAGGATGCCGGGGGGGAGAAATCCGTCGTCGGCAAGTTTCTTGACTCCAAGATGGTTGACTCTAAGACCGTCGTGTCCAAAGTGTAAGAGTTTCAATTTATCTTGCACGATATCCATGCTGAAGGAATGTCTTTGAGCGAGTCATTCCAAGTTGAGGCTGTGATTGAAAAGCTGTCGCCGGGTTGGAAAGACTTCAAGAACTACCTCAAACATAAGAGGAAGGAGATGAGTCTTGAAGACCTGGTTGTTCGTCTTCGTATTGAGGAGGACAACCGTAATTGATCGGCAAAGACTCCGATGATAGAGGCTCGTGCTAACTTGCTGAAGCAAGGCCACTAGAGCAAGAGGAAGTCCCTTAACAAAGGGAAGCAGTCTTCCAAGGTTTGGAAGTTTACTGGAACATGCTACAAATGTGGAAAGCCAAACCATATGGCAAAAGATTGCAAGAGGCCAAAGAAGGCTGGGTCAAAGAAAGGGCAACCTAGTGCCCTTGTGGCTGAACACGGCCCTGTGCCGGGTGAACTGATCGACTTTGATATGTCGGCAGTGGTGTTTGAAGCCAATATGGTGGATAACCCAAGAGAGTGGTACATCGATACTGGTGCCACTCGTCATGTATGTTCCGATAAGGAGGTGTTCTCTAAATACACTCCTGCTAAGAGTCGAAAACTTTACATGGAAAACTCCTCCAAGGCTGATGTGGTTGGAGTGGTCATTGTGGTGCTGAAGCTGACTTTTGGAAAGGAGTTGAAGCTTAAGGATGTTCTGCATGTCCCAGACATCCGCAAGAATTTGGTCTCCAGATCTCTTCTTGTTGAGCATGGATTTAGGCTAGTATTTGATGCTAAGAAGTTTGTTCTTAGCATGTTTGGAACATTCCTTGGTCGTGGCTATCTCGACAAGGGTTTGTTCAAACTGAATGTAATGGCCGTGAGTCGTGTAACCGTTTTCAATGAGAATGAAAAGTCTATTTCTGTTTATACCGTTGAGTACTCTGATTTATGGCATATTAGATTGGGACATGTAAATCTAAATGCAATTAAACGGTTGATGAATTTAGAATTAATTTCTAATTCTAAAATTGAATCACATAAGAAATGTGAAATTTGTATTGAAGCAAAAATGACTAAGTTGCCTTTTCATTTGGTGGAAAGGAGTACTGAACCATTAGGCTTGATCCATACTGATGTATGTGATATAAAAAATGTGCAAACAAGAACGGGTAAAAAGTATTTTATTACATTTATCGATGATTGCACAAGGTTTTGCTACTTATATTTGTTAAAAAGCAAAGACGAGGCTGTGGAAGCATTTAAAATCTATAAGACCGAAGTTGAAAATCAACTCGGCAAAAGGATTAAAATAAACCAAAGTGATAGGATGGGGAGTATGTATCTCCTTTTGAACAAATATGTTCTGAATATGGCATAATTCATCAAACGACGGCCCCTTATTCTCCACAGTCGAACGGTGTTGCTGAACGCAAGAACCATACTTTAAAAGAAATTATGAATGACATGTTGATAAATTCAAGATTACCACAGAACATGTGGGGGGAAGCTGTTTTAACAGAAATAATATCCTAAATAAAATACCACCTAAAGGAAAAAATGAGACTCTTTACGAAATGTGGAAAAATTGTAAGCCGTCTTATAAGTACCTGAAAGTGTGGGGGTGTTTGGCTAAGGTTTCAGTACCTGAACCAAAACAAATGAGAATCGGGCCACAGACGGTCGATTGTGTATTTATTGGATATGCGTACAATAGTACATCATATAGATTTCTGGTTCATAAATCAGAAAATACAGAGGTATCTGTTGGTACCATGATTGAGTCGAGGAATGCTATATTCTTTGAGAATATTTTTCCTCTGAAGGAAAGAGCAGAATCTAGTTCTAATAAACGAATGTATGAAACTGCTAGTGATTCTGTACCAGAGGGTACTGATGAAGAACTGAGACGTTGTAAAAGGTTAAAAACGGCGAAAACGTTTGGACCTGATTTTATTACGTACATGTTGGACAATGAACCGAGTTCCCTTAAGAAAGGTCTGTCCAACCTAGATGGACCACTCTGGGAAGAAGCTATAAATAGTGAAATCGAGATCATTATGCAGAACCATACTTGGGAGTTGGTTGATCTCCCTGATGGTTGTAAACCTTTAGGATGCAAAAGGATCCTAAAGAAGAAATATATAGCTGATGGATCGATTGATAAGTTTAAAGCATGATTGGTGGTCAAAGGCTTTAAACAAAAGGAAGGGTATGATTTCTTTGATACCTATTCACCAGTTATGCGTTTAGCGTCGATAAGAGTGCTTCTCTCAATTGCTGCTTTGCACAATCTTGAGATTCACCAAATGGATGTCAAGACGGCATTTTTGAATGGTGAATTGGAAAAAGAAATATACATGGAACAACCTGAAGGATTTGTTGCACTTGGACAAGAGAGAAAGGTGTGTAGATTGATCAAATCTTTGTACGGACTGAAACAAACTCCGAAACAAAGGTATTTGAAATTTGATGACGTGATGTTGTCAAATGGTTTCAAAATCAACGAACGTGACAAATGTGTTTATGTCACAAATACATCAAATACATTTGTCTATATGTAGACGATATGTTGATCATGGGGAGTAGCCATGAAGTGATCATTGTTACGAAAATAATGTTGAAAAGAAATTTCAACATGAAAGATATGGGTTTGGCTGATGTTATTCTTGGAATAAGGATTATCAGAACCGAGGGATTCTCGCTCCACTAGCGGATATGTTTTCTGTATTGGAGGAGGTGCAGTTTCATGGAAATCCACAAAACAAACGTGTATAGCTCGGTCAACGATGGAATTGGAGTTCATCGCTTTAGATAAAGCAGGTGAAGAAGCCGAGTGGCTTAGAAATTTTTTATCTGATATTCCATGTTGGGATAAGACTTTGCCGCCTGTGATGATTCACTGTGATAGCCAAGCTGCTATAAGAAGGGCAGAAAGCAACTTGTATAACGGTAAGTCTAAACATATTCGTCGTAGACATAATATCGTACGCCAATTGATCACAAATGGCGTTATTTCCATTGACTATGTGAAGTCTAAGGAAAATTTGGCTGATCCTTTGACGAAAGGATTGAATAGAGATCAATTGGGAGTTTTGCTAGAGGGAATGTGCTTAAAAATCCACAATGTAAAGAATGATCATAGTGGTAACCCTACCATGCTGAGTGGAGATCCCACGAACTTGGTTCAAAGGGAAAACTAAGCTGTGAAAATTCAGTTAAGCACTTGGAACATATAAATGTTCGAAGCTATTCCCTAGAGCACTCCAAGTGCAAGATGAACTGTTGATTGTGGTGAGAATGAGTCATGTGGAGTTTTAATAAATCCCTAACCTTGTAAAGGTGGAGTATGACAGGATACTCTTGATAGGGAGGTCACCTATATAAGTGTGAAGTGTGGGCCGCTTCAAATGTAAATACTTATGAATCCATTGTGTTGTCCATGGCCAAAACGGACACAACGATAGAACGGAATGGAGTTAAGACTCTATTGTGTAAATGTCATTGTCTAGATGCACACTACGGAGGAGTAGTTCATGTCATTATGTCCACTAGTCCGCCAGTACATCTGATGATGTTTACTAAGAAATGTTCAAAGCCAAAAGCTACCTTCTCTGATTCCATTGAGTTTTGTGAGGATTGAGCACATAGTATAATATATTTGATTTACAGTCATGTGGGGGATTGTTATTAAATATTTGAGTGTAATAGTTGTTTTAATTATTGAGTGTAGTCATCCTGACAAATTGTCTGTACAATTATGGCCAACTTGCTAAATTGTTTATACAATTATTCTTGCATATCATTGCCATACAGCTAATCAACCACTAACCTAATTTGCAGCTTATCTGTAAGGTTAGGATTTATCTGCTCTCTCAAGGCTTTATCTGTTCTCTCTCCCCTATAAATAGGGATACTCGACAGAGAAGAAAGACCACAAAAGAAAAAGAATAGAGAGAAAGAAAGGGACAAGTAAAAGAAAGAGGGATAGAAAAATATTCAGTCCCAAAAGAATATTTTAGGAAAAAAAATATTAGTGATAAAAATAGAGAAAAATTATCAGAGAGATATTTTTATTCCTATTTTTAAGTGCTCAATTCTCGACTCCACTCCAGTTCGCCGGAGCTCGTAAATCTGGTGTGCTACAGATTTAGAGACGTTTGCCGTTGTATCTTTGGGGAAGTTACGCCTGAACCGTTAGCAACACCCGGGGCGTATTCTTCTTGCGGAAAGAGTTTTACTCGCCTTGGCTAAAATCTTTCTGCTTTTATTTTTTAGTTCAATTGTAATTTTCTATTTTAGATTATTTGTAAGAACTGAAAATACATATCAGTTCGTGGGAATTTCGTCTAATTTTTACACCCAGTTCATAACAATTATCACTGACTTGATATGTTGGGTTTGCCAGTTTTAAAGTAGCGCCAGATATATAGTATCTCTTGAAGGGAAACAATAATTAGCAACCCATGAAGTATCACTTGAATATGCAAATAGCAGATACTTTGGTTCCCTGATTGTTCATAAACATGAAAAACTTAGATAAATTTTGATGAAAAAAAGTTGGTGATAGAATTATTTAGTAAACTAATACTTACATCTGAGTCTGTTAGCAGATATCTTTGAAATTGAACATATTTGGGTGGTTTACTATACTGGGGATGGCATTTTTCTACTACTTGAACAATGGCGGTCCAACCAGTGGTATTGTCATCTATCTCCCTTATATGGAGGAACTTCCTTGACATTTTTATCTATGCATGGTAAAAATATTATGCTGTTAGTAATCATACATGTCAATAAAAACATTCAACAATTTAAAAGAATAAATATACATAATCAACTAACCATTATTGCTTGAATTTTCTTTTGATGCTTCTAAAACCTCTTTATAAACAACATTTTTGGTGTATTCTGAAGTACTTTTGTCAAAGAATGCTGATTGAATAAATAACTTAACGTTCGCAGACGAACGTGCACGAGATAATGTGACATATAATTGTCCATGAGAAAACTGGTTCTCTAAGATATATGCCAACATAATCTAGGGTTTGACCTTATGCAATGACAATCTCCCTGAAAATTGAGTTCTTTTATATGGAACAGGGTATTGTTCATCTTTTGGTGGATTTAGCGGTATCCTGTGGATAAAGACTTCCTTGCCAGCAAAATCACCAACTATTATTTGAGCATGTATAACATTTCTTGTTAAGCTTTTACATATAAGTCTTGTGCTGTTACATAATCCCTTAGTTGGATCCAAGTTATGCAAAAGAATAATTGGTGCATTTTTTTTTTCAGCAGAAGCCTGTGTGGTGGCATACCACTTGGTGTTAACGAATTATTTATATCCTCATATTGACCTTTATGCGCGGTGCTCAAAACCTCATCAAAACTTAGATACTCGAACATTTCTCCAGGAAATCTATCTATAAGTGTTCTGTTTATCTCCTCCACAAAATTATTTTTAGTGGACAAAATTACTCTATTTGCTGTACAAAATGAATTAGACATGGTAGAAAAATCAAGATAAACAGTGTCTATGAGATGATCTAACATTGCATCAGAATCTTTGTTTTCAACAATTAGGGGTGAAGGAATTTTTATCATTTCATTTTGATCGGCTGGTACTATTCCATTACCAACTCTAAATAAAAAATCTGTGAAATCTGGATCAAAACGTGCCCTCATATTTTAGGTCAGTTCAAGTTTCTCAAGATATGGCCACAATGGTGATTTAATCAAACAGGCATCTATTCTCTCTAGTTTATTTCCTCTTCGAACTACAGGCAAAATTTGGCAAAAATCACCTCCAACAACAACTACCTCTCCTCCAAAAATCTCTGTTGAATCTAATAAATCTTTTAGTAATTCATTTAATGACTCAATGGCTGATCTTTTTTCCATAGGTGCCTCATCCCAAATAATCAATTTACACTCTCTCAATAGAATTCCTAAACTACTTTGTTTACTTACTTTACAGCCTTTATCACCTTCACATAAACATAAATCTATGGGTATTTTAAATCCAGAGTGTGTTGTTCTACCTCCTGGTAAGATAGATGCAGCTATTCCTGAAGTAGCTGTTGCCAAGGCAATATATCCTTTTGATCTTACATCAGCTAATAAAGCTCGGTAAAGAAATGACTTACCAGTACCTCCTGGTCCATCAATGAAAAAAGCTCCTCCTTTATTATCATATATTCTTTCCTTTATAATATTAAATGCATATTTTTGTTTTTCATTTAGTAAATTGGTATCATTCATGTTTTCAACACTCACAGAAATTGTTCTCTCAAATTCTTTCTCTTGTATCTGTGCGTATTTCATAATCAGACAACTCGTCGGACAATATACCAAAAGAATGAATGTTTTTTCCCATAGATACCAAAAAATTAGCTATTTGCTGCAAAACTTTTTTTCTTATTTCAGATTGGCTAAGCATTGGCATTCTACAAAAATCTTCAGACATAGCTGACTCAAATTTCATCCAAAAATCATTGGGATTATTAAGACAGGAAAAAACTAATATGTTAGCAAAAGTCTACGTAATTCGTATGGCATTTTAAATTGAGCAGCCTCTTCCATGCATAATTACTGACTATTGTTTTCTATAAGTAAAACCCCTCATTAAACATGCCTCCCGAAATGTGGCCACTATTTTACCATTATATGTTTTTAAGTCTGCAATATCAGACATTGGACTTGCAGTTTAGTGACTTTTCAGCCCATTTAGGGTATTTTTATATACAGGTTGGGGGTTCGGCCTTAACCCCCCACCCTTCTGGAAGAAAAAAAAAAAAAGGCCTTGCATAAAAAAAAAAGTCTGCAAAAGATTTTGGACACCTAACTTTTAGCAAAAGAAGCCGTAAATAATATCTTTCACCTTCTGTTGGATGCGCCGTAACAATTCTACCAATGGAATCACCTTGCCCACGTCTCTGCCAATGTTTGTCTTTTTTTATCCACACAAAATATTGAGGAAATTCAATATATGTAAGGTTCAAAGCTTGTGCCTCTTTGTTAGTTCTTTTCATAAAAAAGAATTCTGTTAACATGGTTTTATTATTCCTAGGATTATTTATAATGTTTTTTAACTTATCCTTACGTTTATAAGTTACTGGTTGGTAATTCTCTAAATGATGTTGCAAATTAATTACATATGGATTTATTTCTCCCATTGAAAATCAAAAAATTATCCAGGCTGCCTTTGGTGCAGATACCCAACGCGCTGTTCTATATTGTTGTATCTCATCTATTATATTTTCTAGACTATCCGAATTAATATGAAATGCTATTCTATCATGACCTTTACATATGTATTTATAGATATATTTCACCGCTCATTTAGTAGAACAAACCTCAACATTAATATGACAATTGAATTTTGCAAGCAAATAAGGGTTATAAGGCACGACCCATCTATTATCCACACGATGCTTGCCAATTTTTAGATTTCTATTATTATCATGTCTTTGATAATAGGGAAAACCATCATTTATCTGTGTAGTGCGGTCACAAAATGGCTTAGGATAGGAATATTTACACACGCCATTTTTTTTCATACATGGACTCAAAGGATTATAATCACCACAAGGGCCATGTATCATATGTTTTCTTACTACTCTGTATAAATGTGGGCTCCTGGTTTTATCAGGTATCTCTGCACAGACTATTTTATTGTACTCTTCTGGCCTAAATAATTTAAATTGAGGCTCTAATATTAATAAAAAATGTGCATGTGGTAAGCCTCTTTTTTGAAATTCAATAACATAAGTATACACAGCTACTTTACCAAATATATGCTTCTTAAACAAATCATTTTTCAACACCTGAAGTTTAGCGTTAAACACCCTTGCAATTAAATCTGGCCTATTTTGTGCCTCTTCATTTGGAGTTAAAAATTCTTTTATCCCGGGCCTGGATTGCAAGTGATCGTCAAAAAAATATCTGGTTTGCCAAATTTTTGCATTAATGTCATTGCATCTATATATCTTTTTCTCATACTCCTAGGTCCTACAATAAAACTTGCAGGCAAGAAAATTCTTTGACCTATTTTTGATCCTTCAGTTTCACCACATGTTAGTGCATCTTGGATTCCTTGTAAATAGTCTTGCCTAATTTCTTCTTGTTGCAATCTATGAAAATCTAATCTTTGTGATTCAAGTTTAACATACATATCTACTATATATTGTTAAAATAGTCGACCTGATCTAAGCAAAATTAGTTCCACGTTTTCCCTCATCGGAAATTATATGCATAATATTCCCTAACAGAAACAAATTCTCACCCTTTTTCCCAAGTAATGCAGCTGCAAGAAAACATATTATAGTCAATAACTAAACAAAGATTATATATTTTAATCTAAAAATGAACTAATTACTCTATTGGTTATTATTTACCTGAGCATTCCATATCTAACAATTCTTCCACATCATTTGCCAAATTAGGCGATATAGAAATTCCTACATTTTCTTGTCTCATTTGACTGCCAGAGGCTTGACTTTGGTTTTTTTTAGGAATACCCTCATGCCAACCCACTTCACCGAATGGGAACAAAATTGGATACTGAAGAGGATCATAACAGCCATAATAATATTCTATATTGCGCGTCGCCCCACCACGAGTAAATACTCTTATATCCCTTTTATTTATTTCTCCATTTTCTACACCCTCAATCCACAATGCAATTACTTTTGATACATCAGGTTTATTGAATACTTTCTAATCCACATTAGATAGAGATCGCAAAACTATAAAATATTCATGCAAATTGCTCATTTCACGCAGACGCTTTAAGAATTGTGCATATGGGTTCTCCTGAAGCATTATTATTATTTTTTTCATTAATGCCTCTGTTAATCTTGGACATGCTTGCAAGCGTTTTACGACCTGCTCATCAGTGTCATGAAAATATAGCTGCAAGTTATAAGAATTCTCTATGTCGTTAATATAATGATATAGTTGACATTGTATCTTAAAGGTATAAATACCTTTGTTACGCCTCTCCATCCTTGTCACATTTTACACCCATTGATGTAAATGCATAACGATTGTTAATTGTTCTAATACAATTCCTTAATAAAATAGCTTCTCCAGAATTTGAATCAAACAAATCTCGCAACAAAGATGGTGGAGGATTATTGCTTAATTCAACACTACTATTCATGCAGCACATATATGAAGTTTCATGAAAAATTTTCTTAGCACCACAATATACACAATCAGGCGGTCTAGGCAAAACAGCAGACTCCATTGGAACTTGTTCTAATACAACAGGACCATCCATAGCATTTTGACCTGTTATATACCTCTTATGTTATTACAGAATTTGAATAATATTTTGATATATACATTATTAATTTATAAAAATATATTTATTATTAAAATGATGAAATTCTCACCTGTTTGACTTGTACTTCTTTTTCTTCTACCATTACTACAGTCATCCACTAAATTCAAGCATTGGCATTTTTGGGAATGAGGCTATGGAGTTGACAAAGCAGCCTTTGAAGCAGTTGACTCTTTTGACACACAAAATGATGATTCAACAATACCACTATTATGAGATCTCTCGAGTAAGGTAGACTCAAAAGTTGCAGTAGGAACAAATGAACCAGGTCTTTGGCTCGTAGACATATAATTTATATGGCGCGAGGATTGTCCAGTGTGATATACATTTGACGATACGGTAGACTCAAAGGTTGTAGCAGGAACAAAAGAACCAGGTGTTTGGCTCATAAACATATAATTTATATGGCGTGAGGATTGTCCAGAATAATGTGTATTTGACGATGAATCGACATAATTTGGCATCCTCTTCAGTTTCTTTAATTTTCATTTTTCAAGACTATCAGCCCTCATTTTTTTCTTTATGCCAACATTTGTATTATTAATGCCTAAAAATGTTTCACTAATATTGTTTGGCCTCATTATGGAAGCAACAATACAATGACAATGAAAATAGCAGACAAACAACACACAACAACTAAGCTAACAACAAACAAAAACTTACCAAATATAAATATGAAGCTGAGAGCAACAAACCTAGTAAGTAACAAAATAAAACAATAATAACTTACCAGATACTCGGTAAAAAGACAACCCAAAAGAAAGTCTTAGCCAAAACAATTGCTCCAAATATTACTGGATATGAACAATCGAAAACTAATTCTGCATAATCATATATGTATATATATATATATATATATATATATGTAAAAACTCTAAGAAAATAAAATAAAAAACTCTTACAACAAACAGAAAACAATACAACTTGTTGAAAAGCAAAACAATAAATTACCTTATCCAAACTACTAATCACTGAAAATGTAACGCCCCACTTTATTTTAAAAGATTTACCAAATTATTTAATAAAAATCACTATAAATTTTTTTTTTTGCAAATCTCAATTTAATTAAAACTTAGTGGGCGCTACTTAATTTACCAAAAGCTTTTATCCGAAAATGCAAACACATTAGACAAAGACAACATGCACGAATACTAAATAATAAACCTCACTAGCATCCATTAAATTCCAAATCATAAAAAGGAGAATTCACAATTCCAAGTTCAAAACGACATAATCAAAATAACCCAATTCAATATAAGTTCATGAATAAGCGGAAGCAAAATAATTAAGCAATAATAAACGACATCACCACCACCCGTCTTGTCTCGTCACCCGACAACTGCTTAACCTGCATCCGCAAAGAGCAGGTGGGAATGAGTACAGCTAAATATTGTACTCAGACTATGCATATGAATAACAATAAAATTGTATGGTCGCAGCATGAACATAAAAATTAACAGCATGTCACATCTCTAGTCACATCAATGACTCTAGTCTCATCAAAGACTCACTCATGTACATCTATGCTCATCAAAGCTAAGCCATGCCATATTAGTGAAACATGGGAGTGCGTGCCACATCAATGACACGGCCTTCTCATAGGTCTTAATGAGATTTACCTCATAAGGTAACCGTATCTTATCGTACGGGGACAACCGTACCGATGGCCATCAAGCTCACACTGATAGGCTACATGCTCACATGCATACATAGATCATACCGGTTTAACACATATAAGCACATATGCATAGTTAATTTTATAATAACAACCCACCTGGAAATCCAGAATGACGATAGCAATATCAGAAAAAGACGTAGATTGAGGCTTGACTCCTCAAACACCTACATTATGTCAAGATCCCACAATCAATATCTTGACTTAATCGGAAAATACAAAACAGACCTAGTCGAACTTGTTTCGACTAAGTGTTCGTGAAGTCCTGTGGACGTTGGAACACTTAGACTCGGCACTACACTCGACCAATCCAAAAATATGGGAGTTCACGTAAATCCATCTAAGGATTGACTAGGTCAAACACTCAACCAAATGAAAAGCAAGCCGAATACCGATTTTAATTTAAAAATCATATCTCGAAAATATGGACCATTAAGCACACGAAATTAGTTGATCAGGTTATCCTATGACTTAAGCTTTGAAATTTTAACCAAAATTACTCCTCCTAAAAATTAGAAAAACTACAAAGTTTTAGCTTCAAACTCAAAGCACATTAATTTATAAAATTCATATAATATATCACTAAAAATGCACATTAATTTATATCTGAACCTAATGAACGAATCAGGACTTGATATTTTAACACAACATGCTACAGAGTGATAGAGACAAAATGTAAAAATCTCAGCCCTGGAATTTCACTGTGCTAATTTCAAAAATTCACACAAGTTTCAGCAGTTAACGAATTTAAATCAAAACCGAACCAAATTGGACTCCAAACATTCCCATCTTTTAACATCATAGATATACACATAAAATAAGCATCTCAGCCATGTTTCACAATTTTTCAACAAACAACCGATGTTTAGTAATTCATAAAACTTTCAGCGGAATCAGTAGATAAATTATTAACTATATCAAATTCAGTCCAACAATTCTAAAAATTTAACATAGAATATAAACACATCAGTGGCAAAACATATTAAAATTTCAGCTCATTTGAATCACGAACCAATTTATTAAGCATTTAACATGATTCTGATCAAAATCCACTTTATTTATTAAAAATAGCTACAGGCCTCTAAAAATTACGAAATTTTTACACAGGCCTGGAAAACAATAGAAAACATATCACTCATAATTTCAAGTCATTCCGAACATTGTGAGATTTTTAATAATTCAAACACCAAAACAGCGACAATTATGCTCGACAATTTAACATTTAATTCATAACACGAAATTTCTCGTCCGAGGCCTTCCCATAAGGCCAAGGACTCGACATTGTTCCAGTATCCACTGACTAACACGAGTTTCGAGGTCTCGCTCGATTCTTTAAAAATCGAAGAGATCCCGAACAACATGAATACACATAAAATCATAAGTTTCAAATAATTTCATGTCGAACCCATTAATCGCAAAATATTCACATCTCGAATATCAAATCTCAAAGAGCACATCACGTCATTTAAACACGATAAGCAATTAACATATAAACGATTTAAACGAGACATGATCTACTAGGTACCGTTCTCGTGAAAAACTCGGAAAACAGAACGAAAGAGAAAGACGACGAGCTCGCGGCAAGCTCGACGGCAAGCGTCGTCTCGCGGAGGAGGACAACGGCTGAGGAGGGTTGCTGCTGCTAGGCCACAACCATAGTTCACTTGTCGAGGTGCTGAACGGACTTGGAGTCGCCGGAAAAATTCACGAACAACGATCGGGGAGAGCTTCACGGCGTTACGGGACTGCTGGGAAGGCGTCGCGGCGTGGCGGAGGTCCTGCGGTGGTGACGCGGCGCGGCAGAGTCTCTGTTTGCGGCACAGTGGAAGCAGGTCGCTGGACTGAGGGAGTTCATCGTCGGAAGTTCGTGGGCTTGCTTGCGGGAGGCTCAGACTCGCTGGGAAAAACGCGGAACAGGGTCGCCGGAGGTGGTTGCTTCACGTCACGCCAGCGATGATGGTGGCGAGACGAGGAGATGACGACGAGGATGGCGATTGGATATGACTATGGCGACGGGTTCAGAAACGAGAGAGAGGATTGATGATGAAGGCGATGAGATGGTGAGAGATCGATCGATTTTCTGACTTGCGTGATCGAAGAGAAGAAAAGAAATATCTGAGTTGAGGGAAGAAAGCTGCGGTGTGCGTCTTATGTCGAGAGAAAGAGGAAGGGATTATATATATGTGATTAGGTTAAAACAAATTATTTGATACACAAGCAATCTCACACACACGCGAAACCAAGAGGGAGAATCCATTTTAGGGTCAGCCGGGCCGGGTCAGCCGAGTTTCGGGGTGCGGTTCGGCTGCTTAGCCCGACTCGAAGGCGGGTTAAAAATATATTCGGCTCTTGGGCTTGACTTCTCGGTTTTTTGATCGACTTAGCCAAAATAAAAATTGGCTTGTTTCGCACAATATTTTAAAATAAAAATTCGGCTATTATTTACAATATATATATTTCACACATTATTAATTAAATATTAATACACACAATTAAGCATTTATTTTACAATTAGACATTTAAATAAAATAATAATAACAATAATAATAATAATAATGGCAATAATATTAAATAAAAATCCCAAATATTCCATAAACAAACGGGGCGCTACAGAAAACTTATTGGAGACAACCAAACATAAGCATAATCTTCACCAAACCTGCAGATACCAACAAAAGAGAATAAAACCGAGAGAAACCGTTTCTATTAAAAAAATAATAATCACACCAACAACTAATCACGAGTACTAATCACAGACAACAAAAACTCGAGGACATTATTAAGCCTCTAAACACCAACCAACAGAAGAAAAAGAGACAACCACTTAAGCATAATCTTCACTAAACCTGCAAATACCAGCCACAAAAAAGAAAGAATAAAACCAAGAGAAGCAACTTCATAGAACATGGAAATAGAAAACAAAAAAAATAGAAAAAAAAAGGGGAAAATAATCACAACAACAACTAATTACAGACAACAAAACCTTAAGTACATTATTAAACTTATAAAAACTACAAATGAGAAAGAATAGTGTCCAAAGAAGCAATTGCATATACATTAAAAATAGGGAAAAAAGAAGAAAAACATCACAAAAGTTCAAAAACTTCACCACTATCTTTGTATTAAAGCAATAAAGCAATACTGATTAGTATAAAATAGTTTTAAATATTAATAATTATTTTTTTATTTTATTGTATAATGTATAATAATTTAATATGTGACTTATATATTTGTTTCACTCGTTATTAAATAGTTGCAATTTTAGATCTTGTTTATAATTAAGGATAACGAAAATTTAATATGGCTCGTTACAAAACAAATAGAAAATCATAGAGATTTGTTATTAATGTTGAGATATCAATTCTATTATAGTATTGTGGTAGCTATATCAATAAGATATTTGAACTTGATTTTTAAATTTATTTTGTACTTACATTTTGCAATGCTCTCACGGATATTTAGCTCTACATATGGCTGAGTATCCAACAAAACAGGACAACACGTGATTTGTTATTAAGGATAAATATTGCTTTGTTATTAAAGATAGATAGTTAAATTAATTTATCGATATTTTGAAAAATTAGGATTGTAATTTTTGAAATATTGGAAGAGTTGAGTTACTGATAAGTCAAAGGATTCTAAACTAATCATCTCGATTAAATGATTTTTTGTATATGTATCTAATCAATAGAGGTGCTTTACGATCAATAGAAAAAAAAATGTGTTTACGTAATATTTATCTTGTAAAACTTTCACGATTATATTATTTACATTATGTATAAAATATTGAATCAATTAAAA